GTCCGTAGCAATTCTGATAACAGCCCTGTATGCAAATTGCAATGTGATTTATTACAAAGTTTTGTTAGAGACGGGATTGGCTGAAAGATAGCTGCCATTTCCTACGTGAAGAAAATAAAATCGGCAAATGATCAGGATCCTGGGATTTTTCTTTTAATATGTTGTAATGTATTTTAATGCTCTATTTCTGCAATGGGTGTTCGATCCAGTATGTACTGTCACTTTATGACAATAAATATCACTTTGTACAAATGGAACATATAACAGGCTCTAACCCTTGTGATAATGTCTTTCAAGTTATGGTTACAGACTGCAAGCTAAAAACAGATGTAAAATGACAGGTGGGGAAACAAGAAAAGGGTATTGCTCAATGACATTTACAGTCTTGTTTGAACAAGCTTGGCAAATCTTATTCTTACCTTGTAATATATCACACGCAGAGATAATGATGGTGTAATTTTAATTTATTACAAAACCAAAGGACTTGATCCCAAAGTCAAAAGAATTAAATGTATTGTAATCATTTTATATTCTTGTCTACTTGTATCAATGCAAACAATCCATATTGCATTAGTGTAAAAGGTAAACACTGAATAAGTATATTACTGAATTACAATGTAAAGAGACACTTTCTTTGTACAGATTCACGTTTTTTTGTAACATATCAAAATGTGTTAATTTTGAATAACAGTTTGGAAATCATTAGATATACATATTTGATCTTGTCATGTCTTATATAGGACTCAATTTAATATTGTTGGATAAGCTTTTCAAATGATTTAATAAATATCAAGTATGTAAAATACAATATATATAAAAATATTTTAAAAAAATAAAAAATTACATTTTGTTTTTCATAATATTAAATTATTTTAAAGTATCCAAAAATATTAAATAATTTGGAAAACGTATCCAACAATTTTGAATCAAGGCCGTAGATCGGACCAGATCATTACCTTAGGTGTTGTTAAAATGATTTTTACCCACTAGTGACACTCCAAGCTCATAGACATGTTAGAAGTATTGTGTAGGTTAGGTTACAATTACAGTATTTTAACTGTCTCCCACTTGTTACGATTTTGGAAGGATAGGCCATATTTTAGAGTCCTGTCCCGTCATCCCAAATTTGTTCTTTAGTGTTTCCCACCAGTGCTGGCTTAGAGAGCATTGAGAGCACAAACACCACATGCCTCAGCTCTGGAATCCAGAGAAGCATCACTGGCTCTGACCCAAAGGGGTGGACCTATCCAGAAAGGAGGCTGGTCCACCTAAATTACTGGCAGGTCATCATGGCATGAATATTGCCTCAGGCAGCCCTCTGACGGCAGACCCTGCAGGAAGCACTGTTCACTGCTCTCTACATGGTCCTAGTTCCATAGACATAGCACGAGGATGACCAATGATGATTGTTGGAGACAATTCCCTGGTTCCCCAGTGTCCCCAAAGGGGGACCCCAGTAAACTAAGTCAGGACAGCAGGAAAGGACCCGAAAATTTGGACTTTCCCACCTGAAATTGGGACCACTGTCTACATAACTGTGAAAACGGACAACGAACCCCTTGCCAAACCATTCATCCTAGTGAGGGAGCAATTGCACTCCTGCACCCCTTGCTGATGCCGATAAAGCATTGCTTACAAGATCTGCTCAGCAGAGCTATAGAAGGTTTGAAAGGAAACTATCACAACTGGAATAGTCAAGCCTGCTCCCTGCAAAGATCACTGCAGAAGCTGCAAAGTCTAGGGATGTGCAGCAACTGCAGAAACACACAAAGTGATTATATTCAAATTCTTCTTATTTTTAAGTATTTTTTAATGCATTGTCACTCAATTCACACACACACACACAGCACTGCCATGGAAAATCAACAAACAAATGACAAATCTACGAAATTTGGGGCAAAAATGGGAAAGCTGACACATATGAGACAGTCAGTGGCTGATTGTAATGCTTACTAAGACCGATGTCACCAAGCTGCAATTAAAATGGAGCTCTGCTCATCTTTAGATAAGTTTATCTCCATCCGTGCAGATGTTCAGGTTTCCCCTTGAAGAGCGATTGGAAATGGTATATTGCACAATCTGTGACTGATGGACATGTTAATGACACAATAATCCAACCACCTGGTGCATCTGTGCTTTTCTTACAAAGAAAGTACTTCTCTGATTTAAGGTGCTCCATAAAATGGAAAAGGAGCGTGGTATATTGCACAGTTTTTCATGAAGAATGAACATGGTAATGACAGAAATAATTCCACACCTGGGCCTCTGAGCTTAAAGGAACAGATCAACTGGAAAAAAAATAAATACTGGTTGAAATACTGTTCCTCTAACTGTAAGGTAAGTGTTTCCCTGACATTCAGGTTCTCTAATTTTAAAAATACAATATTACATAGTTACATAGTTGCATAGCTGAAAAGAGACTTGCGTCCATCAAGTTCAGCCTTCCTCACATATGTTTTTGCTGTTGATCCAAAAGAAAGCAAAAAACCTAGTCTAAAGAGCTTCCAATTTTGCCACAAACTAGGAAAAAATTCCTTCTTGACCCCAAAATAGCAGTCAGATATCTCCTTGGATCAAGCAGCTATTACCCCACTAATTAGAAATGATATCCCTGTATGTTATGTTTTTGTAAGTATTTATCCAATTGCAGTTTAAACATCTGTATGGACTCTGATAAAACCACCTCTTCAGGCAGAGAATTCCATATCCTTATTGCTCTTACTGTAAAAAAACCTTTTCTTTGCCTTAGATGAAATCTCCTTTCTTCCAGCCTAAATGTGTGACCTCGTGTCCTATGTATAGCCCTGTTTATGAATAGATTTCCAGATAAAGGTTTGTACTGGCCCAGAACATATTTGTATTGAGTTATCATATCCCTTCTCAGGCGCCGTTTTTCCAAACTAAACAGATTTAATTTTTTCAACCTTTCTTCATAACTAAAATGCTCCATTCCTTTTAGCAATTTTGTAGCTCGTCTCTGGACTTTTTCCAGTGCCATGATATCGTTCTTTAGAACAGGCGCCCAAAATTGCACAGCATATTCAAGGTGTGGTCTTTATAAAGAGGCAAAATTATATTTTCATCCCGAGAATTTATGCCCCTATTTATACATGACAAAACCTTACTGGCCTTCGCAACTGCAGATTGACATTGCATGTTGCTGCCTAATTTGTTGTCTATAACAATTCCCAAATCCTTCTCGTGTGTGGTTATCCCTAATTCACTACCATTTAGTGTGTAAGTTGCTTGTGCATTCTTAACCCCGAAGTGCATAACTTTGCATTTCTCTACGTTAAATTTCATCTGCCATTTTAGTGCCCAGTCCCCCAATCTATCTAAATCCCTCTGCATCAAAGCAATATCCTGTTCACATTTTATTACTAATAAAAAACAAATAAAATAAAAAACTCTGTATTTTCAAAATCTTTTTTGGCGTCTAGTTTCATAAGTGACATGACAACTCTCCAGCTTTTTTTTTAGATAGATAATAGAGGGAAACATAGAGAGACAGCAGGCAGACAGACTGATGGACAGATACACATTGCTTTGGTAAGTGGTGTCAGCTAATATTCTGCATTATGCTTCAAATTAAAAATGAAATGGTATTCGTCAGGTGGCACATTTAACTTTTTTCAGTTTTGACCAATCCGAGAAGACATATGAATCTGAGCCTATTGTAGTGGTTATGGTGCCAGGAGCCATCCCACAGTATCTAGTTAAACAATTTTCTTACAGGTTGACAACTTACCTGGGTGCCTCAGTCGCATCCAGTCTTCTCTGGCAGGAGAGGGTCTCTATAGATTAAAGCGTAGGCGATGCAGGACTGCACTCATTGGCTGAGAGAGGTCAGCTCACATTCTCAGCCAATGAGTGCAGTCCTGCAAGGCCTTGCTTTGCACTACAGAGCAAACCAGTCGAAAAATTAGGTATTAGGACCAAGGTAAGTACAGTGGTTATGGTGCTAGGAGTGACATGGCACTGTCCCACAGTAAGTATTCAAGCCATTTTAGCATGGTTTGACAACTTACCTGGGTCCCACCACCAAGCTTGGCTGGTGTCTACGATAACTAGTGAATCGTCATGAGAGTAGATCTTTTGATAAATAGACAGTCAGGCCGATAGATAGATAGACAGACAGACAGACAGACAGATAGATAGATATATAGCCTTTGAGTGCACTGTATTGTAGTTTTTTACAAATCTATGCTATGCAGATTGCTTGGGAAGCGGTTTAATGTTGTGGTTAGAATGAGTAACATTTAGATGTATTATCCTGGCACTGAGACACAGGAGAGACTCATAGAATGAATATCACATGTCATGAACATTTCTTTAACTATCATCTATCTATCATTTATATGTAGCCTTTTCTTTATATTTTGTTTATATACACAATATGCACCTTGTATATACTGCAATTTATTTAAGGGAACCAAAAACCTGTTCTATTGCTTTGTTCATTAAAGGTGCATTGTTACTTTTTGTTATGGTTATTGTTGAGGTTTAAAATGAGGATTGTTAGGAGATGAGCAACATTTATAACGTTTTCAGTTTGACATAGATACATTGATTTTCCAATCTGCTGCTGTCTTGCTATCCTGTCCTATAATAGTCCTGTAATAGTCATGGCTCATTTTACCTAAACAATTCCATTGTTCCATCTTACTATTTATTTATAGAATGTTTCCAATTCTTACACAAAATACATTCTAACCTTACCTCTCGTGCCATACAATGCTTTGTAAACTGAAATAATTATCTCTGCATGGTTAAGGGACCTGAGACTATGTATGCACCCAGACCACTTCAATGAGCTGAAGTGGTCTGGTTGCCTAAAGCATCTCTTTCATTAAAAACTATTTGTGTAAAATTACGATCTAACAGAAAAATGCATATTATAATATACTAAAAAAAAATAAAAAAAATGACATGCCTCCCCCATTTGTCAGTCCCTCCATTAGCTTCCAGTAAGATATAGGACTCAATTTAAGATCCTGACACTTGCTTACAAATCTCTACACAATGCTGCTCCCACCTACTTATCTTCACTAATACACAAACATGTCCCATCTAGGCCCCTACGCTCTGCCGGAGACCTACATCCAACCTCTGTTTGTACTCCTACCTCTGATGCTCACCTTAAAGACTTCTCTAGGGCTGCACCGTTCCTATGGAATGCCCTTCCCCTCTCTGTTAGACTCTCACCCATTCTCCACTCCTTCAAAAAATCATTGAAAACGTTCTTCTTTAGGAAAGCATATCAATTAAACTGAACAGCTTTCCCTCCCCGCACCCTGATTCCTCTCATGAAACTGTCATTAAAACAACACTAAGCCCTCAATGAATACTATTCTAGCAACCTACTTTTCTACCCTACCCTTACCTTTGTGTTACTTTACCCCACTCCCTCTAGCATGTAAGCTCATTGAGCAGGGCCCTCAATCCCTCTGTACCTGTGTGTCAAACTTATCTGGTTACAAATACGTGTCTGTTGGTCCACCCACTGTACAGCGCTACGGAACTTGTTGGCGCTTTATAAATAATAATAATAATAATGACAAGTCAGTCTTCAGTTCTCAAGCTTTACCTGTCTAAGAATATAAAAAACAACATAAAAATGAGAATTAAACTGAACTAAGATAAGATGAATATATTTTCCCAACTCAACTATTTTAGTTTAACATTTGTCTTTATCAACTGATTGCATTCTTACCCAAAAAAATTTAAGTTCATGTCACTGCCTTCCATTGATTTTACCACAGGCACATATAAAAAAAACACATTGTACATATGGAGGACTTGAATATCCGCAGAATGGCTTCCTTTCATCTGCTGTGACATATTGCCTTGTCCTTTAATTCTATGAATCATTTCTGTATCAGGCAGTGTCACATTATATTCTCAGAAATGCTGAATGCCATTCACTGTCAATAGCAATTACATATTTTTTTAATTTGTATGTTTTAGTATTATTTATTTATATTGGTCACGAATCTGGAAAGACTAGCTCTCTTTTGAATTTAAAAAGACATCACGATTTCCATTTCATTAGAATGTTCAAGCCCAGATGGGAATAATGAAGCATTGAGACAGAAATCTGGGGTCTATCCACTAAAGTCTGATTTTTAAACTTTGGTTAAAAAAGAAACACATTAAAAAAAGACATTTCTCTTCAAACTCACAAGTTTCACAAAGAGATTATAGGAACAAAAAATCTTGAGCCAATTTATTTTATGTTTTTATTACTGATTATTGTTATATTTTATAAAGCAATAGCAAGGTAGACAGATAGATAAATAAATAGATAGAAAAAAATTAAGTATGGCCTAAAATGAGAATGCTTTCCTATTTCGCACATGTGAGAGGCACCTGCCTGCCGGAAAAAAAGTGTGCATGAATATTCAAAGAATCATTAATTTCAGCACTTTGTAGTGCTTATGGTGCAAAATGTGCCCTGCCTCCCCAAACACACTGGAGTCTGTTGGGCAGCGCTCCTAGTCTGCACTACTTCTGCCTGACCCTGTCCCTTGCCATCCCATTTATGTACCTCACAATTCTTGGAGGTATGTATTACAGTTATGCATTATAGTAAAAAGCCCTTAATAATCTGTGACAATAGAGAAAGACGCCTGTACTTGCTAATAGAGTGCAGTGGTGGACTACCAACCAGGGTTGCAATGGTTGCTATTACGACTGGGCTTTGGAGATCCGCCTGTAAGTTCTGCTTAGTATTTTGCAGTTCGGCAATATTCTAAATAAATTATGGTTACGGCACTCAGTGAACAAGTCAGAGCATTTACTCCAGTTGACCACGGCAATGATCTGACTCATTGTGTGAGTGGTGTGAGTGGTGGGCCCATTTTATTTTACACTGGGGTTCTGTTCCTAGTTAAACCCCTGAGTCCATGGTTTTGTGCATTGCTGCAATTTGCCTGAAGTTTGAGGGCAATAGGCAGTTCTTTTCATTCTGGGTACCTTTTATTAAAGGAAGATCGAGTTTTTCTTCTAAGTAAGTTCAGTTGTAAATGTGTTCTGCGCAATTTTTTATTATTGACCGCACGCTGTAGAATACAGAATGGACATGTGTAGTTATGTTTAGATCTTATTAAAGTTTTGCAATGTTGTTAAATTGGAGAACGTTGTATATGTTCTAGTTCAGGTTATTTAAAGGGACACTTCACTGCTCAAATATAAATTAAATAAAAATCACTGTTTATTAGATATACCCCAATTTAAAGCATGAATGCATTTAATCATGCATTTTTTCATTGTGGGTATATATAAAAACCGTTTGCAAAAGGTGCAGATTTCTTGTCTGCTCCCTTTACAAACTTTCCCCTTCTAACCCCGCCCTGACTTTCTGTAGCTGTCCAAAAATATATATTTTTTTCATCATTAATTTTAGTATATCTCTTCTATTTTGCAAATGCTCTATGTGTTTTAACTCTGCTTATAAACATCGGGTATTAATTGATATGACCCTAAAGTTAATGATTTATTCATTGTTTTAAATTGATAGTTTTATGGTGTGGTTTTGATTATCCATAAGATTTTAGGATATCCCCACTATCACACATGTAGTTTATGCTTTTTATGGTGTTATTAGTATTATATGTTATTATTAGTATCTGGCATTAATAGATATGCCCTCAGTATTAATGGCGCATATATTGTTTTAATTATGTGAAAGGATGTCATGCGTCATCTCTAGACGCCCCAACATTCCTTCCGAGGATACATACAGGAACCGGAAGTGAATACGTTGGGACGTAAGGACGTGGGCTGACGTCATGACGCCCACGCCGAAACTCGAAGCGTGCCGCAAGAGCGCGCCAAACATAAGAATATAAAAGAGAAAAGCCCTGAAGAATTGGGACACTCCTGAGGAAGGCCAAAAGTAGAAACGAGTTGAGAGGACTGGACTATCTTATTGGTTTGGACATTTCCCAATAATATTTTATTTTATTTTATTTATTCTGTTGTTATTAAATACATTTATTTGTAACCCCCTACATTCTGCATCCTGAATGAATTTTGAGGTACCAGATACAGCAGATTGGAATTCCTGCCAGAAGTCCTGTTTTCCCATTTATTTAAGGCACGAAGTTTGAGCCAGCTTTTAAGTGGCTCCACATATGTGAGTGAGACCAGCACCTGGTGGTTTACTGTTTCACCTTAACTATATTACCCTATGTCTCTTTTTTCTGATTATTTCCAGATTATCTGACTGCAATTTGGGTATTGATTTATATTTATTCTGAGTGCTCTCACCATTTTGTTTGTTTTTATTACCAGTTGTATGATTGCCTGCCACAGGGGTGTAACAATGTTAATTTATAAAAGTGCCAATTGCCATTGAAAGCTGAACCTTCTGAGTGAGGACCCACTCCTCTCACATAAAGCTCTTCAGTAAGTTAAAGTATTTGGAGTATTCCTTTAAGTGCTGTTTTATGAAGTTTTGCATTTTGTAAAATGGTATATATTGAAATAGTTCATGCATTTTCCCTGCCTACTCAAAAGTCTTCCCACTTTCATCTTCTGTTTTATCCTCTGTTGTAGGATGACTGATTCATCTGACTTTTACATCTCTGGTCTTCCCTGTAATGACTATTCCAAAACACAAAGGAGAGACAGAATATACTTATCTGAAAAGTGTCCTTTAGGGGTTTAAAAAAATGCTCCATTTTATTAAAGGGTTAAAGTGGCATTTGAAGTGTCACCTTTTATTTTATATGTGCAGACATATTTTATGTCCCACTAAGAATACCATGCAAATATTCTAGGAGTATTCTGCCTCTGTCTATGTCAAGATAGAAATGATGTAAGAGAATGCCAGCAAATCGAATACTTTTCTGGTGCAAAAAAATTATAAATATACACATAACTACAAAAAAAAAATGAACAGAAAAAAATAGGGAAAAGTTGTAAAAAATAATAAAAAGTGCAAAATACTGTCAGAATCAATTATTCATTCAAAACAGAAAAAAAATCAAATTAAAAGTTTATGTGCACTGTGCTATATAAATGACCACTAATGATAAGGTGTATGTATCCAGTTTTTACAAAGTTTAAAATCTAGAAAATAGGTATTAATCTTGATTTTGACACAAAACACCATCTAAAAACATGCTATGTGGGTTAATCTCCAAATTGATTAGAGAGATAATATCAGAGAAAAAAAAAACTACGTACCTCATCGGCACTTTTCCCTAAGAGGTTAAAAAATTTAACAGTCAAAAAAAACAACAACCAGAATTAATGTCACAAAAAAATGTGCAGGCAAACCTATCTGAGAAACTTTTATAAATCTCCTTTGTTGTTTCTGCTTCCAAACTTACTATGTTCTATCATTATCGTTGCCTTTATGAAGAAATGTGCTGCCAGTTGCGGGGATCTCTTGACATAGGTTGTATGTTTTGGGGACTTTTTATCATAGGAAAGGCTTAAAACATCGGTTGACAGTGGGCTTCTGTGCTAAGATGGCGGTGCGAGGTTCTAAGATGGAGGTGCCAGGTTCTAAGATGGAGGTGTCAAGTTCTGAGATGGAGGTGCCAGGTTTCAAGATGGAGATTAATAAAGCAGAATGGATTTTTTCCATTTCAATTTATTTTCAGAGCTCACGAACATATACTTGCTAAATTCAGTGTATAAATAAACATACCACTGAAAATCCTGAGAAGCGGCATCCCCACTTTAATATATCAACTACTGCGTACATCACTGGTGCCACATAAACACAAGATAATAATTAAAATAAGATTAACGCATGGAATTATAGACTATGCATCAGAGAGAAGGAAGAACTGTGAGGCTCAGTGGTTTCTATTTGCTGTCAAGTTCTGTGATTCAGTGTTAAAAATGACAAAATGTGCTACACCTCCCAGATTGTGAGAATTTAATGTCTTAATTAAACCAGTTGGTGTATACACAATAAACACTGCTCTTACTCAACTCATGGCTTTTTGTTTCAGAGCAGCTGGTGGGAAAAATAATATGTGCACAGCATGGGTCATCTTCTATATGTACAAAACAGTTCAAAGAAAGCATGTGCACTTGTGCAATCTGCTGATTACATATGATTACGAAATCTCTATAAACAAATAAAGCACTAAAAGAACAAGCCTGTGATATAAATAAACGGTATTTTTATTCTCAGGTAGATTGACTTTGGAGTTCATCCATCAATTTGATGCGTCATGGTTCCAAGAGAAGGGGAGTGGTTTCTT